GCCCTGAAGCTCARCGCAAACATAAAGTTAGATAGGATCAGGGTCAGAAAAGATGAAGAGAAGACAGTACTTGAAAGACATTGGGTGCTCCAGGTTCTGGTTGAGGATGGTTTTGGATTATGGAGTCTGCAAACAACATGGACCCTTTCCACTGTCTTTAATTGACTTCCAGTGCTCCATACTCCCAATGCCCTCTTACCTTCCCGGCCACTGCATCTCAGCTTCTAGACTATGGAGTGCTCTAGGGTTTGGATTATGGAATCCCCCCCGCYCCGAGAGCCAATTTTTCTTCCCCTCATCCAGTCCCTTAGCTTTGTCATCTGTATTCTGTCAATTCCCAAATTTTCATCTTCTCTGAACTCCAGGCTTATATACTGAAACGGTCAATTTGAACTCCCAGTGGWATTTGTCCACTTAGAATCCAACATGGCCAAAACACAGCTCTTAATTCCACATATGCCTTATCCCAAATAAACCTGTTTTCCCTTAGTTTTTCCCATCTCAGTAAGTGGCACAATTATCCTCCTCATGCAACTGGCTGCAAAACTGAGGTTATGCATCTTTTTACCCTCCCTGCAGCCCACAGTAAGTGAAGAAATGGAACGTTGCCCAAACCCCTGAATTCCCCATGGGCTGCTTCTTATTCAGACTCTTCTCCCTCTCCCCAGAGGAAACCTGGTTTGCCTTTTATGATAAACATTTCCTTGGTTTTCTTTATAAATTTTCTAAAGAGTATGCATCTCATAACTTAATATGTAAATGTTGCCTGTTTTTTTTTAACTTCATGTACACAAAATCATTCTATTTTAACTTCTTGCATTTCCTTCATTCAATACTATGTTTGTGAGATTCATCATGCTTAGAATGGAGCTTTAGTTCATTCATTTCCTGCCTTCCTTTCATTATATTTGGTGTTTGAACACATCACAACTTACTTATTACTAGTATCAATCTATGTCTTTAAATACCCAAATACAGTCCTTAAATTCAGATTGCATAAAGCATGGTAGCACATGTAATTCCAGTGATAAGAGAGGCTTCTTAAGAAAGGAGGCTCACAAGTTCGAGGCCAGTCTTGGCAGCTTAGTGAGATCCTGTCTCAAAGAGTAAAGAGGACTGGGTGTGGGTTGGGGATGTAGCTCAGTGGTAGAGTGCTTGCTTAGCAAGTATGAGACCTTGAGTTCAATTCCCAGGACCTCAGAAAAGGGGTAGTTGAGGATGTAGCTCAGTATTAAAGTACCCCTGGGTTCAATTCCTAGTACCCCTTCAAAAAATTAAGCTCAGATTGCATTGATTCTATATCATATTTTGGGTCATAATGACCATAATTTAAGCAAAAATTCATAAATTGTCATGATAAACCCAGAGTCATAAGATGTTGGGCTGATGTCAAGCCCTAATATTTTTTTAAAAAATAAATGACAGAAAAAATGCATTACAATTCATATTACACATATAGAACACAGTTTTTCATACCTCTAGCTGTATATAAAGTATGTTCACACCATTTGTGTCTTCATATATGTACTTTGGATAATGATGTCCATCACATTCCACCATCATTTCTAACCCCATGCCCCTTCCCTTCTCCTCCCACCCCTAAGCCTTAATATTGATAGGGCTATATTTCTGGAGGTACTACAAGGAAGTCTGTTTCTTTTTTCAACTTCTTGGCTTCCCACCCTCTTCCTCCATCCTCAAAGTCAACAACATTATATCTCTTTGATCATTTTTCCATAGTCACATCTCCCTCTGACYACAGCCAAAAAAGAAGTTCTCCAACTTTAAGGATCTATGTGATTAGATTGATCCATCTGGATAATCCAGAATACCTTTTTCCATTTCAAGATGATAAATTTAATTGCATCTGAAAAGTCCCTTTTGCCATGTTAGGAAACATATTCACAGGTTCTGGGAATTTGGACATAGACTGTGGGAGTGGGGGAGCATTATCCTGCCCACTGCAGGATCCAATCAGACCAGACAGCCTGAGTTAGAGAATTTATGGAGTAAGAAGCCCAGTGCTGGAGGCAGTGGGCATGATGCTGCTCTGGGTGCTGATGCATATATAGATGTAATTATACTTGCAATGTGTGGGTGCATAATAGAGTTTCCAGGTTTCAAAATAAAGCACAAAAGAGGTGGAACAGATTTGGGAAGGAATACCTGAGAAGGGCATTCAAGAGGTATCTGCCAAGAGGTTGAAAAAATGGGTCTGAAATGATGTTACCTTCTAAATTGTTCAGAGCAGATCTTGGCCATTCTCTAAAATGTGTATTTACTTCTAGTGAAAATTATTTTAGGAATCAGCGAGGCTTTACTGAACGTCTTCTGCATTGTGTGTGTTTGCTTGCTATTGTTGTTCATTGCCTTTCATTGTGAAAAATATTTGCATTTTKKGGGGGGGGATTGTTTATGCTTTGTTTTCCCCTTGAGGTGAAATCCACATAATGTAAAATTTAACATACACACATTAGAAAATTTATAATAAAAAAGACAGTAACAAATGTGGGTGGGGATGTGAAGAAAGTGGAAGTTTCATACCCTGCTGGTGAAAATGTAAAATGGTGCAGCCACGTTGGAAAACAGATTTGCAGTTCTTTAAAATGCTAAACATAGAATTGCCAAATATTGAGCAATTCCACTTCTTGGTACCTCCCAAGAGCAATGAAAACATATGCCTCCACAAAATGTGTACACAAATATTCACAATAGCATTGCAATTATGAATAAGTTAAAAAAACAAAAGTGTAAACATCCCAAATGCCCATCAACTGATGAACGAATGTGGTATATTCATACGATCAAATACTATTCAGCAATAAAAGGAGTGAAGTATTGATAGATGAAGGATTTGGACAGTGATAACCCCCAGGACAGGAAATGACAATTCCAACAAACTGTTGGACCTGGAGGAAGAAGGAAGAGGAAGGCAATCATTAATCCTCTCCTAGTAAATCCTCTCCCARTAGCAATGGGCTCTGGGAGGAAAAAAGCAAACTTTCATTCTTTCCCGGGTTCATCCCTTCCTGGGTTCATTCCCAGTATCTCCACCAAAAGCAACCATGTTGGGAAGGCCCAGCAACAATGAGTCCTGAAGGGAGGAGGCAGATACTAAAATGCTGGATGCTAGACTTTCACCCTTTCCCATTGCCAATGAATCCTGGAAGAGAAAAGTAAATAGTGAATCTCTGGATAACAATGGGTCCCAGAGAAAGAAGGTCAACAGTGAATCCCATTTACTGAGTTGCTGAGCCACACTGATAGAAATGGAAGTACATTTGTTCCTAAGAAAACCCTTGGATACCACCTGTCTTGGGAATTCTGGTTCTGGATTCTGGCTGCACTTCAACCTCTTCCAATCTCCCCAGTTCTTTCTCATACCCAGTTAATTCCACAGGCTCCTACAGTTTGTGGGCTGTACTACTCAAAGCCCTGTGGGCCCAAGTCCAATTTTTTTTCTAGCATCCACTTACTACCCAATCAATGGAAATTCAGGCTGCCCGCCTTACACTCAGCATTGTTCTCTAATTCCCTTTCCCTTGTAATTTATAAAAACCTCCTCTCCTGGGTAATGTCAATATTTGAGTGTTTCTCTTTCTCATGTTCATCTTGTTGTTGGGAATGGAACACCACATTCCATACTAGGAGGAGGACTTGCTGTTTGGAGGAATTCTTCCTTTTCTTTCCCATCCTAATCTTCTTAAATAGTGGGGAAAGAAGGGTGGCATTGGGGGCAATGGTTAATAGCCACAGGGCAAATCAGCACTCTGTCTCCTATGTAAGATTTGGTGCATCTAACCCCAAATGTATCTCTTTAGAAAGATGCCCCAAATGTATCTCTTTAGAATACAAAGAACTTAATCTTCCACACTGGGTCCTGGTTACCAATTCTGAGACAATAGGAAAAGGTCTTCTTATCCCCTCACAGTAATAAGCAACTCCACTGTTTTGCTAATCCAGTGGTTCCCATCACTCAAGGTTAAATCCACACTCTTTTTTTTATCATGACCCCCAAAACTTGATGGAGCCCTAGCCTACCTGCTTTCCTAACTTCTCCACCCACTCTCCCATCCCTCACTTTGTTACAGCTGCTTTAGGCAACTGTTTCTAAAACAAATCAAACTTGTTTCCACCTGAGGACTTTTGCACCCCGGGTCCCTTCGGCCTGGTATTCTTTTTTCTCTGTAATTGCCTCCTTAAATCCAAGTTACTAAATTATTGATTTAGGTCACCCCAGACCATTCTAATTCATATTTCTGAATTACTAATTCAGAACATTATACTGCTAATTCCAGAGCATATATTCAGGGAGTAATGGAAGAAAGCATAATTTTTTAATGCACACACTCTCGATAAAGTAATATAACATCAGGAACACGTAGGTATAATCATTTTCTACTTTGTATGTGATGCTCCAAATAATTCAAGTTTAGGTCTAGGAAATTGAGACTGACTTTTATGATATAAGAAGTAATTATATAAACCCATTGGCTGCATCTAAAAGTCTACCTATCTTTGTGTTAAAGTTTTACACTATTTAAGGCTTATCCCAAGCAGAAAATCCTGAGTAATAGGAGATCAAATAATGAAGTAACACGGTAGTAGCAGTTTGCTTATGCCATCGATCGTGGATTTATCTGAAATTTCCTTTTCCTCTCCTTTAATATCATTAAATAGTATCTTAGTTATAGATGTAGTCTGGGGGGTCAGGATGTCCAAACTTTGGTAGTGACCCATGGGTGAAGATGGCATCGAAGCATCAACGTTCCCCAGGCTCTAACTTGGCCTCACTTTGTCCCGAAACTATCTTGTGTTTTACGTTTTTATTGTCTGCCTCAACCGCAGGCGCCAGAGCTGTATCCCGCCACTAGATAGGTTCAGTCACTAAAAGGACACACCAACATTCAAGCCCCACTGCCCGGCCCGCTCGCCCTCACTGCGGTCCCCACCAGGGGGCGCGGAGTCTTAGGGGCGGCCTCTGAGGGGCCCGCGCGCGAGGCCCTCTGGGAAGTGTAGTTCACGTGCCCGCCACGGCTCTGGGGGTGTGGGAGCGAGGCTCCATGTGCGCAGGCGCACTTCTGGCTCTACCCCGCCGCTGCGGCCATTGTCCAGCCCAGTTGCGGCGGAGGCCGCTTTGGGCAGCTAACCCTTCTGCAGAAAAGACCTGGAGAGAATAGAGCCTGCGGCGGTGGTCGAGGGCCGATCTGAGGCCCTGGGTAGGCCTGAGGTCACAAGTCCTGAGCCCCCTGGAGGCGCTGATTCGGAGTGCGCGGGTCGGCGCAACACTTCTCACGGGTTTGAGGGGTGTCAACTGGGCCTCGCCCACCATCCTGCGGGTGTGACTGGGCGTGGCTGGAGGGGGTTGTCCGAGAAGCCGCCAAGCCCCAGTTTGGGGGAGGAGGGGCTGCTGGCCCTGACGGGATCCGCCCTCCTCCCCACCCTCCGGGCAGAAGTGGCTGGGAGCGCGGGCGGAGGCGGGGCGGGCAGGGTGGGGACCCTGGTTGCAGCCTGGTGAGTGCGCGCTGTCCTCTCTCCGCAGCCGCTGTCCGGGAGCCCGCCCCGCAGAGGCAGAAATGGCCCCCAGGCCTCCGATGGCCGCGCCCCAGGTGAGCCGCTGGTTCCGAACCTCCCWGGGCATCCCATCCAGCGGTGCTCTGGGGCGATTTTGGAACAGTCATTGTTCTAGAGACTCCGATTCCTGGCTCGATTGCCGCTCCGAGCCCCAGGCACGCAAAGCCCCAGGATGTCCAGAGCCCGTGGGGAGGGATTCCCAAAAGTCTGGCGGCACTGTGGGTTAGAGGAGACCACGGTGGTGCAATCCTGTGAGAGGAGTTAAGGTTAAATGTGTTGGGAAGTCCCGAGTACTGTGCTAGTTCTTTGAACTCTGTCAATGAGGAATGGAGAGGGTGGGGTGACAAGATAGGAAATTGTAGAAGAGGAAGTGACAGTCARTGAGTGAAAAGAGAAGAACCCCTTCTGATCCAGAAGCCCATCAGGGGCCAAAGAAACCTGATCAAAATATGCCTAGGAAGAGGTTGGTGATGAGGCTTTCTTGGGCAAGACCAAAAACAACAAAAGAAAACAAAAAGCACCAGAGTTAACCAGCCCCGAGATTTTTTGTGGCCTTTTCTGCTTTAACAAAGGTCTGATAGTGCACACACGCATCTCCAGATGTCAAAGCCTTTGCTTTAATTAATATGAGGCTGATTTGTGAACCCATTTGTTCTTGTGACAGAGAGTGCATTTTCTAGAAACATCACAACTCAAGAGTATCCATTAATTTACATAGAGCATATTGGTGAAAAATATATCCAGATTTTATCTGGATCTTTTAGTCCATACTCTTTAGAATTAAGGAAAAATTGTAAATTATTGTTGGTGTATGAGACAATCAAGATCAATCCAGAAAAAAGTACCAACTACTAATGTCCTTTAAAAGCCATTTACAAAAGAAAGAAAAGCTTACTGTAAATTAAGCACACAAAGTATGCTTAAATACACCTGTGTTCTTTTACTGCTTGTTATAATTTTGTTTTATGAGCCTTATGGAGTAAAACAGGTGTCAGTACTAGAAATAGTTATTTAGTTTGAGTAATCATTGTTATCACCTTTTCAGTGTTTCCTCTGTAGGCTGAGAATTAGGATGGCTTAATATTTCATCTGGGGGATGGCTCTTTCTGAAGGAGCGTTGCTTTTTTTCCCCCCCTTTTTTTTAGAAACCTAAATGTTTATTGCATGTACTAAGAAGGGAAGTTGGAACATTAAGGATAGAGACTACACTCAAGGCTTTTAATATGACAGTCTTAATCAAATACACCATGAAATAATAGATTATCATGAAATAACTAAGCCAACTACTAATTTAAAAGTGAGTAACAACAATTAAGGAAGAACTAATTTCATAGTAACAGTTATTCCTGCCAAAGAGCATTTTCATCTTTAAGAAAACAAGTGGTTGTTAAATTGGAATGGGTGTCTATTAAGCATTGTTAATATAAATGATATATTTTAGGAATAGCAGATTATCTTCCAATTACAGATTCTCTTTCTTATTTTCAGACACTACTCAACCTACAAGTGACAAATTATCAATATTGTAGGAGGGCTTTTTAATGGTGACAGTGGCTATGTGTTCTAAGCAGTGAATTTTAAGCCCTCTTTAACTTTACTTTGAGAGCTATACTTCCCAAGCACTCTGACTAGTGACATTTTCCTGCAATTTTTGATGGTCTCTTGAGTTATCTAAACTCAGTCTGCAGGTGATGACTGGAGATGAGGGACAGGAAAGAACAGAACACTGGCCCTAAGTGGGGCTTTTTAGGCAGAACTTTCCTTTATCAGTGGTTTTCCTTCTTTGAGCATGGTCCTCGGGGTAATGCAAAGATGAGTGGGGGTAGAGTCTCACACAGAAGTATAGCACAGAGAGGTGGAGTCCCCTGTTGTTGCAGAGGTCCAGAGACTGCTGTGAATTCAGGGAGGAGATAAGAAATTCTGCCTGTGGAAAGGAATCAGTGGAGATGCCACCTATGAATAGAAATGGAGTCTAAGCAGGTGAAAATAAGGGGGGTAAGAGTAGAGCTGACTTTGTGTGTTAGGGGAGTTGAGAGGTAAGACCTGTGACAACAGATGTGGGCTGCAGGCAGCAAGTGGACACTAAGGAGCTTGTACTTTTTTWATTTTTGGCCTTATAACCCATTCACTCATTTATTTATTCATTCAACAGATAAGTCATTGAGCCCCTCTTATATGTCTGGGCACTTGTCTAGGCAGTTGGGATACTTCAGTGAACACAATTATAAAGGACTTTGTTCTTATGGACCTTATATTCTAGAAAGAGAAGAGAGTTGGAAGAATTCAGTAACTAAGTACATTTTATAGTATTCTAGAATAGTTTCATAGAAAAAAGAGAAAGGTAAGAGGGAAGGTAGGGGACTTGTGATAGGGATACAGATTTTGGGGTGGGTGGGTACTGGGGATTGAACTTGTGTGGTTTACCACTGAGCTATATCTCCAGCCCTTTTATTTCTTATTTTGACACAGGCTTTTGCAGAGTTGCTGAGGGTCTTGCTAAATTGCTAAGGCTGGCCTTGAACTTGTGATCTTCCTGCCTCCACCTCCCAAGTGGTAGGATTACAGGCAAGCACTATCATGCCCAGTAGGGATACAATTTTATTTTATTTTTAAAAGAAAGAGCAAGAGAGGTAGAGAGAGAGAGAGAGAGAGAGGG